GTGGAACGAAGGCAGAAGATGTCGGTGCTGCTGCCGCGGAGCACGACGATACGCGCAGCAGCGACGCCGGCAGCGGGCGCACCAGCAGCAGCGCGCTGCCAGCAGCCGGCGCTGCGGCGTCGTCCATGCTCCCTCATCCACCGCCACCCCACAGGGTCTCTTCAAGTACCACCAGTACCAGGTGGTGGGGCGCCACAACCCCACCACCGCGGAGCCCAACCCCACGGTCTACCGGATGAAGGTGTGGGCGCCCGACGCGGTGTGCGCCAAGAGCAAGTTCTGGTGAGCGGCCCGTCTCATTCAGCGCCTGCGGCGCCCGCAGACTCGCGGCAGGCTTGCCGCCCGCACCAGCTTCGCAGTTGTGCGCGCCAGCTCTGCGTGGGTTCTCGGCGCGACGGACGTGGCCGCAGCGCCCGTGTGGGAGCGCCTAGTTGGCACCACCGTGGGCGCGCCCCGACGCCCCATGCCTTACGGCCTGTGATCACAGGTACTTCCTGCGCAAGCTTCGCCGGGTGAAGAAGGCCAACGGCCAGGTCCTGGCGGTCAACGAGGTGGGCAGCGGCGCCCGCCAAAAGGGGATGGCTGCACCCGATGCTCACGCGCCTGCCACGGGCTGGGGATGTGTGCAGCAGCGCAGCCTTGCAGTCGGTGGGAAGCGGTAGCTGCAGCTGTTGGCAAAGCAGGCGGTTGGCAGAGAACAGCGGCGGCGCACGCCGTGCGGTCAGATCAGCTCAACTGTGATCTGAGGCACAGGCCGGAAGGCGCACCGGACGGCTCGCGCATGGCCGGCTGGCGGCGCAGGGCAAGCGATGTTGCTGCGTGCTGCACCTCGCGGGCCGGCGCGGCCGCCGCCAGACGCGGAAGCACGGTCGGAGCTGCGCGCCCCGGCGACATGGACACTGAAGCCGGCCTGCAGGCGCTGCACAGCCCCCTGCGGTCTCAAGCGCGGCGCCGGCACAGCCGCCGGTGCCGACACTGCAGCCCCTTGCAGCGGGAGGGGCACGGTGGTTGTGGCAGCGATGGCGGCAGCTCACGAGTAAAGCAATGCGGGTGCTGTAACCAACACACGCCCTTCTTGCCTCCCGTCCGCGCATTCACTGCAGATCTTTGAGCGCAAGACCACCACCGTCAAGAACTTTGGCGTGTGGGTGCGCTACCAGAGCCGCACGGGCTACCACAACATGTGAGCGCCATGGTCTTGCCTGGGGCGGGGGCAGGGGTAGGGCGCGGGGCTGGGCAGGGTGGGTCGAGCGGAGCGAGCAGCGCCTGCCTGCGGGCGGGAGCCGCAGGTGCGCTTACCTGGAGCGCTGTGCGCCTTCTGTTGTTTTCTCATCGGCTTGGGGCTCGCCTCACCCTTGCCTCCAACCCCCGCCATGCTGCACCCCATTCGACCCACCCGTCTACCCGGCAACACCGACTCACCCGCCCGTCCACCACCCATCCACCGCCCCTTTCAACCCCAAAAGGTACAAGGAGTACCGGGACACGACCCTCAACGGCGCCATCGGCCAGATGTACGGCGAGATGGCCTCGCGCCACCGCGTGCGCTACCCCTGCATCCAGGTGAGGCCGCGGCTGGCCAGGGGTCGCTCGCGTGGCCCGCCCGGGG